AGTGCTCCAGTCTAAGGTCAGATAGGCTTGAAAGTTTCCTACTTTGGACCACGTTTGGATTCTCATGTTAGAGAAAATTATATCTGTTGCAAGAACTGTCAAAATTGATGCCTTGGAGGTTTGTGTCGCTTTAAGAGGGCACCCGAATTTGTAAAAGAAATACTCAGTTTATCACATTCCCTATTTTGAGTGGTAGGTTGGAATATCATTATGGTTGCAGTGGTTGATGTTTTCTTTTAACACAAAATAAACCAAATTGGCAAAGATGAACAAAAACAATTTATACTTCGTACCAAACAATAGTTTGTGTTCTTTAACTGAAAAGAATTAAACATGTAAAATGTAGTCCGGAATCCATCTGTTTTCAAATATGCAGGCTCAAAGGCCTTCAGATGTGGAACAATGCCCATTATGCTTGTCAAATAAAAGATGGATCTAGAAATACTGCTAGATATGTAGGGGTTAGTACTACAGGTGGTCCTCGACTTAACAATGACAGAATTTCCATCGCTAAACAATGTCATAAAGTACAACTGCATGGTTTAGTAATGGCAGTCCCTGCAGTCCTAGTTGTTGATGTTAACTGAATGCTATGGTTGTTAGGCAAAGTAATGTCCTACCCGCTTCCCACAATGAAAGTCAATGGGGAAGCCAGCAGCATGTTGCAAGTTCCAGGCCAGCAGGTAGATAGGTGGCTAGTGTTTGATGGGATGGGGCGTGAGGGATTTGTATGGATTTGAAGGTAGCATAGCAAGTGTGCAAGTTTAGGGATTGTTCATGGAAAGGTACAGCAAGGATTGGGCAGGGAGTGCATGTGGTTGTGAATCAGAGAGGGAGCACAAGGGTCCAGCATAGGTCTGAGAGGGTGCTTGAAGGGTGGACTTTGGGAGTGTATAAGTGGCCAGTGTGGCATGAATGCAAAGATGCTAAAGAAGGGTACATGGGTGGGAGAGAATTACCATAGCAACTTGTGACTTCCCTGCTGGTTTCCCCATTGACTTTCTGGACAAGTTGGCAGGGTAGATTGCAAAAAGCAATCATGATCACAGGATGCTGGAACCAGTCATTAAAGTTGTAATAACTGGCAAGTCAGTTTAGCCTAATGGTTAAAGCACCAGGTTAGAAACCAGGACGCCATGAGTTCTAGTCGTGCTTTACATATGAAAGCCAGCTAGGTGACTTTGGGCCAGTCGCTCTCTTAGCCCACCTTAGAGTGTTGTTGTTGTGGGGGAAATAGGAAGGACTACTAGGTATGTTCATTGCAGTCATGTGAGACAGCTGGAACTCTGAGGACTGGTCATAATCTTCATTCATTCAGCACCATTGTAATTTTGAACAGATACTGAACAAATGGCCATAGGACTTCCTGTACATTAGCAAATATTTCTGATTTCCCGCTTTCTGAGGACTGACAGTCATTTTTTTCCTGCTCAGTCATATTGGGAAAGTGCACTGCATAATATTAGGGTTTTCCAAAAGTGAGATGTTCCAAAAATACTGAGAGATGCTTAGTATGATGAGACAACCCCTTTTTGTAAGTTGATCCCACCCTTTATAGTGGTGAAGGAAAAAACAAACCGCATCACCCAGTTCATTCAGTAATCATCTAGGTTACAGAGCTCCAGTTGGCTGCTTTAACTTTTTTCAGGCAGTGGAAGGGGAAAATAAAACTGGTATTGGTACAGCACCTCAGAATTTGATGTTCCCTTTTCCAATGCAGATGTTGCTAGCTGGAGAGAAGGTGGAGGCAGAAGTTTAAACTCTCCAAACTCCCCAACTGATCAAGAAGCAAAACCTCTTATTCAAGAAGATGGTAATATGCCTGGACCAACAGAACCAATTGATGCCCTTAAGATACCAGAAAAGAAGGAGATACGGCTAGCACCACCTCCCCCACCTAAGATGAATGGCCAGCAACAGCCAGGGATCCCTCCTCAGTATAAAGGAATGATACCACCATATGTAAGTCTGATAGATCAAATTCTTGCAAAGTTTCTTTCACTTCCAAGAGTCATGTTATAAAGAATGGAATGTGTGGGGCAAATTATTCCTATAGAGCAGATAGCATGTATGGCCTGTTTGCTAATCATTCTCTTCCATTTCTGGTGTGGATTTAGATTATATTTAAGCAGTAGACAAAGTGAAACAATAATAACTTTTTAAAAGAATCTTACAAAACATAAAATGTTGAGCAAGAATCTCTATAGCCTCAGGATTCAAAAGGTATCTTTTGGTTTGTGATCAGATTAATTGAAACAGGAACATGCATGAAACAAACAAAAACACTTCAGATTAGCACCCCTCTTCCCCCCAGAACCGAACACCTTCACTTCCTCCTGAACTTTCTAAATTAGCTCATTCCAAAGGAACAAAACTCAAACCTTTTCAAATTTCTGGCCATCAGAAATAATGGGAAATCAGAACAAATCCCTAGCTCCCTTTTTTTTTAACCCAAGGCCACCAGTACCGATATAGATATAGATGCTGATTTTTGCTACAATTTACCCAAATAGAACAAGGAAAAATAAAATAATAAAAACAAATTCTTTGAAGTCCCTAACAGCTTTGATAGAAGAGAAAACTCAACATTCGTACTGCAGAACAACAGACTTAATCTTCAATTGGCAGTTATTTAGCTTCTAATAACATATAACATTTTGCAGCTCCAAGACTGAATCCCAACCTAACCAAGTAACATTATTGCACTTCCATTGCTATGATACTACAGGATTTCTTTAAACGTATATGAACCTGTCATTGGTAGGATGGGAAGAAGTTGCACTGGTTTCAAAACTAGGCTGTTCCTGCTTAATTGCATGGATAGTGTAGGTTAGCATTACACAATAAATTTAAAAAGCCAGCACACTGCACTCCTATTTTATCAGACTCTGCTATTGATAGTATTATTTATACCAGCAGTCCCAATCCTTTCTGGCACCAGGGACCAATTTCAGAAGAAAAATTGTCTTCCACGGATGGGGGTGGGGTGGGTGGTTTTGTGCACAACCTACATTATGTGCAGGTGAAGCTTCAGTCACTTACCCGGCCCAGTTCCTAAAACTAGGGATTGGGGAGCCCTGATTTATAACACATGAGCAGAAAGTACTAATTCTAGCCTTATAATCAGCAATGAAGCCAGTGCATTTTTTTCATTTTTCTAAATCTACCTTGAGGCTAACATCAATAAGATATAAGGCACATACTTCAGACCATGGACACAGAAACTTCTCACATTCACTCCTCTAGATCCATATCACACTACACATGAAAAATTGAATAATTTTAACTCAATTATAGAACTAAAAATGTATATCGATTTTGAATCATTGGGGAGGAGTAAGTTTTTCAGGGGAGTTGGAGCTGAAATTTTGGAAAAATTGAAATAAATACATGAATGTATAAACTGCCTTCAAAATGACCATTGTTTTGAGACTTAGTATAGGACAATGATGGCGAACCTTTTAGATACTGAGTGCCCAAACTGTGCGCATGCATGCACAGATATACACGGATGTGTGGGACATGCGCAGCAGAGACCTGAAGACCAGCAGGACATCCCAACACCGGCAGCACAGCAAGAGGCAATCTTCTTCTTTCATGAGCTTCTGTTTCGTCATTTGCGGGGAAACAAAAGCTCACAAAAAGAGAGGGATCTGACCTGGGGTGACGGCGCCCGTTCCAGCAGAGGGCTCTGTGTACCACCTCTGGCCCGAGTGCCATAAGTTTGCCATCACGGGCATAGGACATAATGAATCCTCCAATTGCTAGATCAGAAGCAAGCAGTTCATCTTTTTCCACATCTTTTCATTTCTACCCAAGAACTAAGTCCTTGCATCTTTAAATTTTGTTGTCTTAATTGCCATAGTTTGTTTTAAAAGTTTATTAAGAAAATAGAGCAGGCTGTTTTGGATAGATTGATTGCTTCATCTATTATGATTTATAATTACATGAGATGTCAGAAATGTCCTTCAATTGTATTAGTTGAAGTTACAGAAACTAGCAAATTCAGAATATTGTATCAGCTTAATATTCTAAGATATGAATAATTGTTTTGCTTATGCAGGCATTCTATGTGTTCCTTTCCTGGTTGACTGAGCAATTATAGAAAGTTTTCAATTAATTATACTTTTGGACAAAACAAGTCAGGAAACTAATCAAACTTCAGAACTTACAAAAATACAAAATCAGATTCATAGTGCGGTTTAACATCCTGACATTATCTTAAACTGGTGATTTTGTTCACATTGGGAACGTATGATATATCAATGACTTCTGATTCAACTGGATATGTGAAGCCTGACCAAAGGGACTGTATGTGTTAACTAATTGTTAATGTTATCTTATTGAGCTAATTTGCAATAATTTGCTAATTTGTTTAAATATAGCCATACATTTTCTGAAATAAATGATATACTTCTGCATAATTTTGCTATGTAAATTAGTAAATTCCTTTTGACCTTTTAAAAACTTAGTTTAAAATTTCATACGGGAACCAATTTATCATTGCTTAGATTACAGCTTAGCATTGTGCATAGCATTTATGTAATCATTTTTATGCATAATTTTGATATTTAGTTATTACTGATTTAGTCTTTTTTTTTCTTTAGATGCTTAATCAGTACCCTAAACTAGCGTATCCACCAATGGCAGGTCCCAACAGATTTCCTGCCCCATCTGAGAGCAGCAGGTGAGAAAGCCAATTGTTTTGCTTGCTTTGTTCCAAAATCAGTTTGCACTTGATACTACAACTAGATTTGCTTATTAACTGTACAATCATGTCTCCAGAAAGTTAGACATTGTGCATTTACAGTACGTTATATATCTGAAATTTGTAATCTCTTAGCAGACAATGAGAACTCTGTATATACTGGTACCAAGAAGTTTAGCTTATTCCTCTATTGACTCCTAAAGTTTAATTAGCTTCTAGTTAAAAATATACCAGTATTTTTTCAATACTGTGTTAAACCAATCATTTAATCCTTAAGTTGGAAGAGTCCATTTAGCCATGGATATCTGATCCCCTGCTCCATGCAAGAATTCAGATTAAAGCCTTTCTTGATATATTGCTTTAGATCTATCTAGGATCTAAATCTATCTATTTAGATCAGGGTGTCAAACTTGATTTCATTGATGGGCTGCCTCAGGGTTATGCTTGACCTCGGGGGTGGGGGGGAGCATGGCCAGCTTAAGGTCATTAGTGTCTGTTGTGGCCTGAGAGCTCTCCCAGCGATAATGGGCTCCCAAGCTCCATTTTCGGCTGCAACAGCTTCCTGAAACCCTCTGCCAGTAAAAACGGAGCTCAGGAGGACCACACGGCCCTCCCCAGCTCCATTTATGCTAGCATAGGCACCATGGGCTGGTTTTTTGCTGTTTCCAGGGCGGCCCTAAGGGCCAGATCTAAGCACCCCTTGGGCCAAATTTGGCCTTGAGTTTGATACCCCTGATTTAGATAAACCCAGTCTCTGCTTAAACATGCTGTATGAAAAGAATCCTGCCTGATATCATAATTTTCTCTCATTTGTTAACTAAGTTGAGTACCATTTTCTGAGTTTTAAATTCAAATGTGTGACATGTTTTCTCTTTTTCTAGAAACCCAAGAGGAAGGGGGCCGCCTTCACGGAACTCCGAAGCTGTAGAACGTCCTTCAATCCTAAGTGCTAATGAACTCAAAGAACTTGATAAGTTTGATAATTTAGATGCTGAAGCTGATGAGGGCTGGGCTGGTAAGCAATGTAGATCTTGATATACATCGAACTAAAATTGCATGCAGAAAAAAAGTATCCATCATGCTAATCTCGAATTTGTTATTTAGGAGCTCAAAGTGAAGTAGATTATACTGAACAGTTGAACTTCAGTGATGATGATGAACAGGGAGGTAATCAGAAAGAACAGGAAAACAGGTAATAAACATAGATACAGAAAATATAAAAATCATCTGCTAGTCTTTTAAGTTCTGTGTATAATGTTTGCATCACTTTGCCATTGGGGTATAGTGCACAGGTACCTACCGGGTGTAAATATCTGTTTAAGTATAGAATTTACATTAGCTAAATAATGTTGAGTATGTCATTGTCATCCATCTAGCCCGTTTCACATTTGAGAACTAGCATTGTGTAATGATTAAGGAATTGAGCTATGAGCAGAGAGACCCCAGTTCTAGTCCATCAGTCACCTATGCTCTTTCAATGACTTTGGGACAATCATCTCTCAGATGTGGTGGAGAGAGCAATAGGCATGCGATCTTAAGCTTCTGAATGAAAGGCAGGATATGTATATTTGTAATCTCTGCATGTTTCTCATTGTGTTAATTTTGTTTTTCTGTGGCTCATTGGTTCACGGTTCCATTTTCAGCTACCTTAAACACTTGATGGGCTTGCTTTAGTAATGCAATATTTATGAAATTAGTACAAAGTTGGTAAAATATGTTTGGCATAAAAATTTTATGCATAAGTGTTTCCATTTGTATGTTTTATACAGTAATGAATCTACTAGAGATGTAGACAAGAAAGACGTAGAAGAATCTAAATCATCTGCTCCTTTGCCATCAGTTGGATCAAAAGGTGCATATAGCAAAAGCAGTCAATTTGACCAGGTACGTGTTGTTGCTGTCTCTTTAGAATCATATTGTTCCTGAAGAACATTTTTTTCTCAGCTAAGCACATATGCCAAAAGTCTGAATGTTCAATTTTTTTCATGCTACGAGTGGCATTTACTGTTCCAAACAGAATTCTATTTATTAGTTTGAGAAAATTTGCAGTAAAAATATTTCTTCCTCTCTCTTCCAGTAGCAATTAAATCTGATCCTTTTTCCATTGATCATTAAAGTTAACAAGTAGCCTTTTATGATTAGGGCTATGTGCAATATATGTGTAGCAGAGGTGGGTTGCTCCCAGATTGGGCAAACTGGTAGTAATGGCGGCATGAGGTCCCACCGGGTCTGAATCGGTGGTAACAAAATTGGCAACCCACCACTGATGTGTAATATATATTTATGAGTTAAGTTTAATTGCTTTGGAAAAGAGTTATCTTTCATAGATTTGAAATATATTTCGATTGCACATTTTAGGCAAAAGCAGAAGATGTTTCTTTTTGGCATGATTTTTAATTAATGTTTGCTTGTTCTTGGTTTCACTATTTAAAATCGGTTAGGTTTTATTGTTGTTTTAAATTCTGTTTGAAATGTATGTATGTATAATTTTATCATGTCCTATATATCAAAATATCAGCTTGAAAGTAAGAAATAATTTCGTATGTTTAAAAACAAATAATTTTACATGTTTAAATAGATAAATTGATATGTATTAGGGGAAGGATTTCAACTTTTCTGCTTTTACACTACCTCTAAGTAAAATTTAATTTGAAACGGTTAACTTTGTTCAACATTTTAATTTCATATGAATATCCACAAAGGGTTTTTTTTTTTATTAAAATCTAACAGGGACGTGGAGTGTTACCAGCACAATCTTCAGCACTTGAGAGAAGTAGTAGTTCTGGACTTCATGCAAAATCAATTCTTCAGGTATCATCAAATGCTTGTTTAACAGAAATAATCTCTGATTCACATACAAAATATTCCTTTACCTGTTTTTTAAAATGCTGATAGTTTCTGTTAGAAGTTCTGTAAGAAGTTGAATTTGGACATTTTTTTCCTTTAATGCCTTTGCTGAATTCATAGGTTGAACTCCAAATTGAATGTGTGGGATGTATTTGTATGTCATTTTTTTCTAATTGCACTAAATGAATAAATAAATGCATTTATTTATTCATTCATTTAACTGATTTATATGACTGCAGATCTTAAGCAACTCTGGATGGCTTACAACAACCATAAAACCAATAAATGAGGTAGTAATAAGAACAAAACAATTTTAAAAAATCCTGTTCATTAATTATCCTCCTTGGGTTGCTCTACTGCAGGCTTAGCTACTTCCATGTCTTCTACCCATATAATGCCAGCACATCAATAAAAAGCAAGGTGTTAATGGCTTTCAAAAAAACAAAAACCCACCTAGAATGGGGTCCTGTTGAATTGCTGGCAGGAGGGATTCCCCAATGTAGCAGCAGCTGCAGAAAAGTCCTGCTTCTGAGGTCCCACTGGATGGCAAGATTTCAGGGAGGGAGATTACAATTTAAAATACAAGGCTGCTATTCCTTAAGTTTTCGATTTCAGTCAGCCTAAGGAATTAAAAATTAATTCATGGGGAAGTTCAAAATAATAAAAGTCTTGCAAACAAATACTTAATGTTTTAGAAGAAGGATTATTTTAAACATCTTTTAACACTGAAAATGTCCTTAACTGTACAGCATGTACATTTTGGGGATTAAATGTTCTTAAATGTGTGTACATTTTGATTATTCTTCGATGAAAATAGATCAAATTCCAGGATCTCCAGCAATGTTTTTTCATTTATAATTGGCACTATTTATTTTTTATTAAACCTGACCCAAGATTATATGACAAATTATTTTGAGGTCTCACTTCCAAAGAGAATTGAAGAGCCGTTTTGCCTATGTATTTAGGCAAAGGGAATTTCATAGTACGTCTTTGGTTTAAATATTTACTGGTCTTCTTGTTTTTTCTTTTTTAGCATCCACATCCAGATCGCATGGCAGGACCAGGAAGGCAAGCTTCCTTTCCTCCTAGGCCAGCACCAGATGATGATGAGATTTGGAAGCAGAGGCGAAGACAGCAGACAGAAATATCTGCATCAGTAGAACGAGCCCGTAAAAGGAGAGAAGAGGAGGAGCGAAGAATGGAGGAACAAAGAAAAGCTGCATGTGCTGAGAAATTAAAACGCTTAAATGAGAAATTTGGGTGTGCACCAAAGCCAACTCGAGAAGAGCCATTGAAAGAAAAAGAAATTATCAGAGAAAAAGATGTTGAAAGGGAAAAGGAACCAACTATTGAAAAGGAGGAAGAAAAATTGATAGATGTGGAAATAAAAGAAAATCAAGAAAAAGGCAAAGAAGTAGAAAAGGAGAAAGAAAGAGAGGAGAAAGAAGAAGTGGAAGAGGAACTTAAAGTAGAGGAGAAACCTAAAACTGAAATTTCTGAGCCTCAGGAGTCTGTCATTGCCCCAGTGATATTAGAGAAAGAAGAAAAAGAAACCACCATTGAGGAAGAAAGAGGTTTGTATCAATTCCTTTGTTAATGTAAAGTATAATTTTCATCCATATATAGTATAGTTATACTTTAGTTTTCAGCATTCCTTGTTTTCACTCAAGTTGACTAAAACTTTGGCAGTATTTCAGGGGGTGGGCGCAAGATCAGATTGGAAGCAAGCAATATTTTGTGAATGCTAGAATATCAGTGAGATCTAGACTTAAAAAATTTGGACATCCTGAAATAGGCATTGTGTGTTTCGTAAGGAGGAACACATTTTTAAATATGTTTAAAATAGAAGTCTTGCAAAATAATGCCTGAAAAGTCAATTACAGTATAATTTTGAACATTTGTGGTATCCGCAGATTGCCCTTTATGTTCCAGTATAGCTTTAATTGGAACATCTGCAGTAAACATTTTGAAATTGATTCTTAGGTTAAATACCAGTTTACCTAATTTGAGATTTAAGCTACTCTGGTGACAACTTCTTATAAAACACTGAATTTATATATTTTGTTTTGTTCATAATTTTATCAGTTAAACCATTTGTGGCACTAATTTTCTGTCTTTCCCTTGGACAGACTGTCAGCTTGTTTCCACCATACAAGAAACCGATCATAACGAAAAAGACAATTCACATGAAAACGAGCCTGATTCTGGAGCTCAGCCTCGACCTGCTGTTTCTTCTGGCTATTCAAAGCAGTTTCAGAAATCGTTGCCACCACGATTTCAGAGACAACAGGTAATCTCAAGCTTTATAGTACATATTTTATTCCATTTCATTTATGGAATCAAATAAGTAACTAAAGATTGCTTATAACTAGACTCCACTGAATAAGTAATTGCTTCCATGATCCAAATTTAATCTAGCAATTCTCCAGTGCGCTGCTTGGAGAATCCAAGCATGAGTTAACTTTGTCCATTAGCTTAGAGAGTGAGTTGTGAAATTGTTGACCACACCTCCTCTGACTGGAAGAGTTCAGTTTTTTAACTCAGTCCAGCCTGAAGAGACGTAAAAAAAAATTCTCCAGCACAATAGACAATATTTTAACTCATAATGATTGCATCTTAGGATAATTACTTGTTTTATTCATTTGGATAAATTCACTATTTATTGGTGGGCACGAGCGGGCTAGCTGTTCCGTTCCGATGGGTAGCGACCACACCCATTTCATTTACTGGTGCTTTGCAGTAAGATGCGGACAACTTCACCTGCATTTAATTGTTTTACCGTTTGTCGCCTGGAAAAAGGGATTGTCACAGTCCCTTGCCTATTAGTTGCTTTAATTGAGAGTTGCCGCGATTGAGAGTTGGTTCACCACTCTCATGTCAGCTGGCGTGGGTGCAACCCGCTTGTAGTGCGGTCAGTCCCCTAGTAACATTCATCGAGCCGCTGCTGCTGCCATCACCACCATCACTGTCTTGCAGGCAGCCATTGCCTTGTCCTTTGGCTCCCTCGCTATTGCAACGGGCGTTTTGGGTTGCAATTTGAATTTCGCACCGTTTGAAGAGACAACGAAGGAGTGGCTCTCCTGTTCACGCTGAAATTGGTGTGACATCATAACTGCCGCAGATTGTGTGCTTGGGAGGTCGATTTTCTGCCATTCCGGCATTGCACACGTGGTTTGGTTTCAGAGCAGTTGTGGCAGCCTGTGCTCCAGCTACGCTGGTGATAGTCATTTGGCAGCCGTTTCAGCACCGATATTTCCAGATCCATCGCTTTTCTCTTCGTGCATATTGATCACCACCGTGAACTTGGGCGTTCAATTGTATATCTCCCTTAAGAGCTGAGATAATGGCGGATTATTCTGTATCTGGGAGCTGCGCTGCAGCTGACTCTTCTCCCCTGCTGCAGCCTGAAACCGCTAGGGTCAGCATGAGGATGGACAGATCCACCTCTAAGACCACTGGTAGCGGGTCCCGAGCATCCGCCTCGTCCGTGGCTCGGGATAGGGCCGCCAAGTGCAAGGAAAAGGGCAAACCTTTACCCAAGCCTCCCGCAGCCACAGTTACTAGCAGGTCCCCACTGGCTCTAACAGCAGAAGGATCTCCATCTGGATTCCTCTTTAATCTAGCAGGGATCCAAGGTTGGTCTCCCGACATCCCAATACCACAGGGATTTTCATCTGAGGCATGGCATTGGGACTCCAATCCCCTTCCAGACCTTCTGAAATGGACCTAGCCCCGGTGCCTACAACTAGGCATTCGGTCCCAGTTGCCACCTTCACCCCTACGGCTGCAGAGTTGAGGCCCGAGGAAGGCCTCATATGCAGCCTTCCCCCTGAGATAAAGGATATGATCTCAGCAGCTATTTCACAGGGCGTAGATACAGAGCTCCAATGTAGGGATCAACAGCCTCGGCTTTTGGTCTTATCCAGGGACTTGTCCACTTCTCAAATGGAACACCCCCCCCTCTTCCTATTCGTAGTGAAGGTTCAGTGTTGGATGAGGAGGATGATATGGGGGATCAGGAACTTTCCGATGATGAGTGCAGGACAAGCCTGCATTCTTCAGTTTATTTTGGCCCACCTTGTTCAGATCACTTTTGTACAAGGCTAAAGCCACAGCCAATTCGGGGGGGGGGGGGACTATCACCCAAGCTAGCACTGCGGTTGGTCTAGATTCCACAGAGCATCTATTTTCGGAACAAGTTCTGAAAAAGGAGGTCATTCCATTCGCAAAACCATTTTTAGACGTTGTCCAATGACAGCGGACACAACTAGCTGCTGTTCCGCTTCCTGGCAAGGGCGTCAGGAAGCTCTATAGTTTAACTCTGGAGTTGGACGGGATTCTTCAATTCCCTATGGTAGACCCTCCAGTAGCGGTCTTAGCCCCTTCAGCCCTGGTTCCATCCAATGTTTCGGAAGGCCTCAAGGCTGAGGACCGCAAAGCAGAACTAATGATATGCAAAACGCACCAGGCAACTGCCTGGCCGTTGCGGGCCACTGCAGCGGCCTCGTTCTTCAATAGAAGATCTCTAGCATGGCTTAAACAATTGCGAGCTAGGATTGCACCAAAAGATATGCGCCTGCACCAGGATGTAAACAAACTGTCGCGACGCTTGAATTTTCATCCGACGCTACCCTCAACGCAGCAAAATCCGCGTCCCGTGTGATAGCATCCAATGTTACATCCTGCCTCCTCCTATGGCTCCGCCATTGTCATAGTTAATGCTACCAAAGTTCCCACCATAATGAAAATTGGGAGTTTGGACACCAAGAATATTAAATAAATACTATTCCAAAACACCTGTAGCTGAAAAGAATATGAATTATATAACATGTTTCTAAGAAAGGAAATGTATAGAGGAAAAGTTAATTGTATTTGCTTTTTTGTAGGAGCAAATGAAACAGCAACAGTGGCAACAGCAGCAGCAAGGAGTTTTACCACAATCTACACCATCACAACCTTCTAACAGTCCTGTTCCCCCGCCACCACATAGGCCATTGTACCAACCTATGCAATCGCACCCCCCACATTTGGCTTCTATGGGCTTTGATCCAAGGTGGCTCATGATGCAGTCCTATGTGAATCCAAGAATAATGTCAGGAAGGCCTACTATGGATATGCCACCTATGCATCCTGGTATAACTCTTACTATATGCTGTATACTTGTATGCTGAACTTCATTTTCTCGTTTTTCCTGAGTGTAATTGTCTTTGGGCTGTAGATCATCATAAACGTTCTGAGATTAGGCATTTCAAAGGGTTATTTATTTCAAAGCGAGTGTGTTGAAAGTTACAGTATATCATTATTAGAAACATTAATGTCATTATTTGAGGATAAATGAATAGGAATATGATCTCTTCTGTGGTTGCGCTCCAACTGCAAAAATATGTTCCTACAGCAAAATATATTTATAAGATGTGTTTGCTATACATTTTTAAACAGTTTTTCAGTGTACGTAATGGGTTGTAATAGTAACTTTTAGGAATAGGAGTAAGAGCCGCAACCCAGTCAATGGTTGGACAATTTTAAGAAAGCCTTTCAGGCTTGTCCCTCCTTTGTGTCTTATAGATAAAAGAAGGGTTTCTGTTATTGTGATTTTGTAATAAAAGTAGTATTAACATTCATAACTTTGGGTTTTTTAGTCTGATCTGTTTGAAGGACTGACAGTTTTATCTCTCCATATTAAAAGTCAGAAGAATCTGATGCCAATCCTAGCACTTATGCTTTTTAATTTGAATATCTCCATTTCAGGAATTATACCTCCTAAACCACTTCTGAGGAGGGATCAAATAGAGGGGACAGGAGCTGGTTCAGATTCTTTTGATCATGTTACTCGATCAGCGAGGGAACATGCCATACCACTGCCAGAATCACGTATGATGTGGGGGTCAGAACCATATACTCACACAGATCCTCAACAGACTAGTGCCTCTCCCAAAATCCTTGAAGAAACTGTTGATATAAGGTAATATTTGGGGTTTTGTGTATAATGTGGCTTTCTTTTCTACAGTGCTTGCATTCAGGCATACCTCTAACTTTCAAGAATATAAAAGGATCAACATAATTTTTTCTAATCAATGGTTTTTCTTAGATAATAACTGTATTCTTTATTGCAATTGTCTGTCTTGGACAAATAACAGAAAAATGTAAATGTAATTCCAGTTCCATTACAATTAACAGAATATTTGGCAGTGAAAAAGCAGAGACATTGTCCTTCATTTTTATTACGGACAATTTTCCACTTTAAAAAAAGATTATCCACACATCTCCCTCATTATCTACTTTAACCTCTATAAGATATTTATAAATAGCTATAAAGCCTGCTAAAATAGTTCAATAGTGAACTAGATCTTATCATATACAGGTGACTCGTTTAGCAAACGCAGTTGGGATTGGCAACTCAGTCATTAAAGTGAATCTGCAACTATGTTTATGATCTTACTTCACCTTTGCTTTACAGACTTGCAAAGATCCTCAGCATGAGGATTGGTTGTAAAGTTACTTTTTAGCACTGTTGTAACTATGAATAGGACACAGTGGCTATGATGCTGAACTTGTTGATCAGAAAGGTTGGCAGTTCAGCGATTCGAATCCCTAGTGCCGCGTAATGGAGTGAGCTCCTGTTACTCGTCCCAGCTTCTGCCAACCTAGCAGTTTGGAAGCATGTACAAATGCAAGTAGAAAAATAGGGACCACCTTTGATGGGAAGGTAACAGTGTTCTGTGTGCCTTCAGCGTTTAGTCATGCCAGCCACATGACCACGGAGATGTCTTTGGACAGCGCTGGTTCTTCGGCTTTGAAACGGAGATGCGCACCACCCCCTAGAGTCGGGAGCAACTAGCACATATGTGTGAGGGGAACCTTTACCTTTAACTGTGAATGATCACTAAATCATTGCCTGTATACATATTTATATCTGTGTGTTTTAGTAGCTACAATACTTCAGTTTCTTCTGAATACATGCCCATTGGAATACTTTTGAGATTTACTATATTCTAAGAGTATTCTAAATGTTTACTAAGAGTATTCTAAATGTTGCCACTCTGTTACCACCCCAAATATCTCCAAATCTAATTGGGTCACCAGTAAGATATCTTCCAGGATACAAGAAATAACTCATATTTTAAACATGCTTTTTAAAAAATATTGTTTAGGATGATTGATAAGACTTCAGCTGAAAATGTGGCTTGTTTTCCTCTAGGTCTGAAGAACTTTTGGATCAAGATCAAATAACAGCGCAAGCAGTATACTCAGGAGAAGAGAGTCAGTTAGATCCCAATATAAAGACAGATTTCAAAAAATCTGAGGATGTGAACATACAGACTTCAAGCAGGTCTTTGGAAAATGCACAGCCTCATCAATCTGATACATGTCCATCGGCAGGAAATTTTGAAGTGACTGCAGGAAATGTTTCAGAAATCTCCAAAGAACAACAGGTGCCTATAGAAGAGAATAATTCTTCTCTGAAGAAAAGCATTTCTCATGGATCAACTCATTCTTTGAAATCAGAAGAATCAGTGGGCAATACACAGGCAAATATTCCCAAAATAAACAACAGACACACTGAAACAAAAGAACCACTGCTGGAAAGACTAGACGGCAAGCAAAAAAAGGAGGGGTTCACAAGTAGTAGGTTGTTAGAGGGATCAAAACCTGAAAAGCCCTTTAAACCTAAATCTGAAACTCGATGGGGTCCAAGACCAGGGTATGGTAGAAGAGAGGAAGGCAGTGACAGGCCAATGAGAAGATCGGGTCCCATTAAAAAGCCAATTCTTCGTGATATGAAAGAAGAACGTGAACAAAGAGAAGAACGTGAACAGAAGAAAGAACGGGAGGGAGAAAAACTGACAAATGAGAGAGTCAATAAAATTGAGAAAAGGGATCAGCCTCAGATGCTAATTTCCAGGTTAGAACCAGAGAAAGCCACTACAGTTGATAAGAAAACATTGCAAAACACATCGCAAGCTGCAGAGTGTACAGACGGCCCCATAGAACCTATAATTACGCCTACTGTTCAGCAGCCTGTCGTTGTACAACAAGCAGCAGCAGTACTTCCTGCATCTCAGCCGCCAGCTACAATCCAAACGCTTCCACCTTCAGCTCCACAGCCAAACACTCCACAAACTGCAGTTGAGGCTCCACCACTTAGTGTACAAGAGTTATCAGTTCAACAACCTGCAAATGTGAAGGAAGAAAAGCAGCCAGAAAAAATAATTAACAAAGAACAACCTGTAGAAAGACCTGGTATTGAAACCAGACCAGTAAAAAGGGAGCCTGGAGCACCTCCCAGAACATACTGGAAAGAAAACAGGGACTGGTTTCCGGACCAAGGATACAGAGGAAGAGGACGTGGAGAATATTACTCTAGGGGACGCAGCTATAGGGGTTCTTATGGAGGCAGGGGTCGAGGTGGAAGAGGTCACAATAGAGATTATCCCCATTACCGAGATACTAAACCTAGAGTAGAACATGTTGCTTCTGGTCCTCTTAGGCAGAGAGAGGAGAGTGAAACCCGTAGCGAGAGCTCTGATTTTGAAATTGTTCCAAAACGACGAAGACAAAGAGGCTCAGAAACGGACTCTGACAGCGAAGTACATGAAAGCGCCAGTGATACTCTTCTGTCAGACAAAGACAGCTTAAGCAAAGGCAAACACCCAAAGAGAGAAGAAAGGGCAGATGTTAAAAAGCCTTCAAAGGCCCTGCTACCTTTCAAACCTGAAAATAACATTCGAGGGGACCATAGAGGAGTTGATAAAACATATGTAAGAGAAGATGAAAATAAGACCAAGCCTGGTTTTCTCCCTAAAGGAGAACCTTCTAGACATGGCAGAGGGGGGATGTTTAGACGTGGTGGAAGGGATTCAGTTGGTCGCCCACCCCGACCGTCTATTCTTAGGAGACCAGGATACAGAGAGAATCAGTGGAACCCAAGACAGACAGAAATCTCCAAGCCTGAAGATGGAGAACCACAACGAAGACATGAACATTATGGCCCTATACAGTTGGATAAAAGACCTCCTGCAAAGTTTGAGAGGAAATTTGATCCCGCAAGGGAACGACCCCGAAGGCAAAGGCCTGCACGACCTCCCAGACAAGACAAGCCGCCACGTTTTCGGAGATTAAAAGAAAGAGAGGCGGCATCAAAAATAAATGAAGTCACAACTAGTTCATCATCAAGTGTGGCAGTGAGTAATGCTGTTAATGAGCAGCCAAGCACTACTTTGGAGGTTTCAGGAAGTAAAACGCCTGACTTGTCCAATCAGAACTCTTCAGACCAGGCAAATGAAGAGTGGGAAACTGCTTCAGAAAGTAGCGATTTCAATGAGAGACGCGAGAGGGATGAAAAGAAATTAGCAGACGTCGCAGCACAGGGAGCTGTTAAGACAGGAGAAAACACACTAATTCCTAAAAGAGAAATAGCTAAGAGAAGTTTTTCCAGTCAGAGACCTGGGATTGATCGGCAGAATCGCCGTGGTAATAATGGCCCATCCAAATGTGGACGAAACTTTTCAGGGCCAAGAAACGAAAGGAGAAGCGGCCCTCCAATGAGACCTGGAAAAAGGGGGTAAGTATGTTTCCTAGAAAAACCTAATGTGGAAGGCTTCAAATAAAAGCCAATTCTGCTATTTTATTTTGCTGGAATTTTAAATTTAGAACTAGAATTCTTTATTGGCCAAGTGTGATTAGACACACTGAATTTTCCCCCGGTGCATAAGCTCTCGGTGTACATACAACAATAGCGATAGATCATCATTATGGTCATTGTAAAAATACATTCATCATAAAACATTAGCTCAGTGTTTCTCATTCGCTGGCTGGGGAATTCTGGGAGTTGAAGTCCGGACATCTTCAAGTTGCCAAGGTTGAGAAACACTGCATTAGCTACAACATTTAGTGATAGTAATGGATACTAAATAAGCAATCAATATAAATCATACTAGGATACTAAGTAAACAATATAAATCGCAAGATACAAGCAACAGTTAGAAGATAAGGAGATAAGGAAGATGAGAATAATGATGGTAATAGTGGCTTTCTAGATAGTTTGACAGTGTTGATAGTTCGACGGGATTAATTGTTTAGCAGAGTGATGGCATTGGGAGAGGGGAGAGAACTGTCCTTGTGTCTAGTTGTTCTGATGTGCAGTGCCCTATAGAGTCGTTTTGAGGGTAGAAGTTGAAACAGTTTATGTCCAGGATGTGAGGGGTCTAGATATTTTCACAGCCCTCTTTCTGGCTCATGCAGCATACAGGTCCTCAGTGGAAGGCAGATTGATAGCAATTGTTTTTTCTGCAGTTCTAATTATCCGTTGAAGTCTGTATTTGTCTTGACGGGTTGCAGTGCCAAACCAGACAGTTATAGAAATGCAGATGACAGACTCGCTAATTTCTCTGTACAACTGAATCAGCAGCTTCTTGGGCAGCCTGAACTCTCTGATTTGGCGCAGGAAGAACATTCTTTGTTCTGCTTTTTTCGATGACAAAATTTGATGTTAAGTGTCCATTTTAAGTCTTTGAAATATTATAGAACCTAGATTTAATTAAATGGTTTTAATTTTAAATTATTTTTAAAAATAGTATATTAAGGCTTCAGATTCGTAGAACATGTAGAGACACATGAAAGCAGCCCTTGACTGTGGCTCATTTTTTAGCCACATCTGTTTCCCAAGTTGTGCGATTGCAATGGAATTCTCAACACAGCAGCTGCACAATCTTGTGGACAGATATTGCTGGGTCTGTTTAATGAGTTGTGGACATGCTGTGTTCACATTCCAAGGCTTCTAACTCTTTAAAAACAAAACATGAATCCAAACTTGCACAGCTCTGAATGTTACTTCCATTTAAACGATAGGAATAGGGAAATTATTGTTATAGGGCCGGGGTGTCAAACTCGCAGCCCCCAGGCCAGATACGTCACCCTCTAGCCACGCCTATTCCCAGGTTAGCGAGGGAGGAAAAGTCATGATGTGTCACGTGACGACAACGTGACTATGAGTTTGACACCCCTGTTATAGAGGATATTTCTAGGAGGGAAGGGAAGTTGATGAGAGAAGAGATACATTTATTGCAGTTAAATCCAGCATCAAAAGTGGTCAGAATAATTCCTGCTCTCTCAGTTTCTTTTCTTATAGTTTCTTGGAAGTTGACAGTTGAGAATGCCTGATAATATTTAATCACTTGCATAGTTAGTCCTTAACTGATTATCATAATGGAGCCTGCCTATTACAGTCAGAAGTCATCATGGTCATTAAGTGAAGCAACCATGTGATTATCTCACTTATGATCCTCCATTTTTCTCTTCCTGATGAGAACAGGCTGCAGGGACCCTGAGGGGAGCCCTGGGAGACCTAGCACAGACCCTGCCCTGGATCTCCCCTGCTCCCTGAGGTATCCCTTGATCCACTTTCTGCCCCTTGAGGTCCCCACTGGCCTTGGCCTGTTTCCCATTCCACTGGACCCCACAACTTCCCCTTCACCACATGTCACTCATCTCGCATTTACCTTTCAAAGATCACCAGAGCTCACATTATTGAAGCAGAACAGGCCACACAATTCCTCGGCCACATAGTCTAATCTCGGAAGTAGCTGCCATTTTCAGATTACCCACAGTTCAGTGCAGCTATCCAAACAATGGTGGCTGCTTCCAGGATCACACCAGGCAGCTCAGGAATAAAAGAGCCTGCTTTGTTTCGCTAACATGGAAAGCTCTTGCTGACAGATTCCTCTTTGCAACAGGTAGAGGTGTTTAAATTCCATGCTGTCATCACTTGAATTGCAGCCATAGGAAAACGTTGACTCAGGATAAAAGAGGCAACCTGATATTTTAAATCAGGCTTATATCAACCTCAGAATCTGTAAAGTTTCAGGTTGAGTACATTGCTCACAACCCCCCCCCCTTTTTTTTAGAAGATGTTTTTTTCTGTCTATGCACTTTCCGTGCACCTTCATTTTGTCACATTTAGAGACAACTACCAAATAATGGAATCAAAGAACCCCCTTGGTTAACGTTACCTTACTTTCCACTTCAATAAGGAACAAAGAAATTACTTTCCTAAAATTAACAGTTTTGGACAAAACCAAGATAGGCATTTTGTTCTTAGAGCCCCATTTCACCTGGAATTATGTTGGAATAAATAGGAATGTGCTTGGTTTTTTATTTGGTTTTTTTTTAAGCACTGCCATTTATTTTAATTTCTATCATATTAAGGTTTTTTTCCCCCCAATTTTGGTAAAACTGGTTACATAAATATTTTCTGTGTTTTTATCAAAAGACAAATTTCCTGCATTTTTTCCTACCAGGGAAATGTAATGATTTGTCAGAAAGCACTGGCTTTTTTAAAGTGAAAGATTGTGCTAACCAAATTCAGTATTTAATCATTGTTCTGTATATTTTGTGATCCATAGAGTGGTTAAGGCACTACAGCATATTTTAATGATATTTTTGTGTTGTAAACATGTATGAAAGACTTGAGTTTATACTATAGCTATAGCTAAACCGAACTAATTCAATTCAAAACATGTTAGACAGGAAAATAGATGTTTTTGTTTTCATGCTTTTCCCCCTTTTTATGTTGTTGCTACTCCTGTTTGGATTGATTGTACAGTAGAACCTCTGGTCATGATCATAATTTGTTCCATAACTTTAATCACAACCCGATTTGGTTGTGATCAGAAACAACAGGAAATTTGGCGCTTACAAAAAAAAATGGTGTGGAAGGAAAAATTGGCCTCGGCCGTGTTTGATGGCCACCAGAGTAGGTATTCATGACGAGCTTCAAAAATTTTGTGAATGTTTTGGTCGGAACCCGATTTGGTCATGGTCAGAAGCGTTTGTGACCAAAGGTTTTACTCAACACACAAAATGCACAAATCTTAATTTACAAAAGTAAAATTTGTTTTCAAAATAAGGACAGATATTCCACTATAGTTGGAAGTCCATTACAGTCCTCCTTCCTTATCTCTCCACTCCAAAATCTTGGGCATGTGTTGAAAGAAACTTTCTGCATTTGTAAAGAAAGGACAAAATAGCTTTAGGTAATCTACCACTTACAATGACAATTGGACTTGGAATCTTGGTCATTGAGCAAAGTAATCATTAAGTGAGACTCCATGTGACCACTTCATGCAATGACTGCAATCCCAGCTCTCCCAGTTATGTCCATTAAGTGATAATGTGAGTTGTTAAGCAGAGCATTGGGTAGAGGGCCCGGATCTCCTGGACTTAGTGAGATGGGTGAGAAATCCCTCTGTGTCCTGGAGGAACAGACCTCAAATCTAATGAAAATGCTAGCAAATGCCATTGTTCTTGGAGGCTCAAAATCTCTGTGTGCTAGTATTTTCACTAGAACTGAGGTATGTTCTTCTAGTCCTCTATAGGCTTTCCTGTCCCTGTATGGAGGAGAGGGGAAATCCCTTGGTATCCTGAGGACATACCTCAAATCTAGCATCTCCTGTGTTAGCAACCTTCCCTGCTGTCTTCCCCAGAAAGTCAGTGGCAGAGAGGATTGCAAATGCTAGTCACATGATCGCAATGTGGTCATGTAACGGAGGAGGTGCAACATTTTAGAGTGTCCCAAAGCACCCGTTCTGAGACTGTTATGACTGCATTAAACAACTATAAGTTGAGGACTACCTGTACATAAAACGAGGCATCTGTAATTAAAATACGGACAATGTTCCATAATGTGCTAAATGTTGTTATTTCTTCCATTGCTATGCTTTTACTAATTATTATTACTAAATTAATTGGTCCCTTTCCTTGTACAGACCATTTGAAGAACAGATGCCTGTTGTGATTAGCGCTGAATCAATAAGCAGCAATTTGTATCAGGAGGAAAACGGTAACAGTGCTGCTGTGCCAAAAGGTTCCAAAGATAGCAACAGCAAGAAACGGGAAGAATCCAAGTCTGGCCCAAAGAAACCCAAAGAGAAAGTCGATGCAATCTCTCAGTTTGACCTTAATAACTATGCAAGTATGTACTTGGAAAATCTCTGTAAGATGCTTAAGATTCATAAGTGCTCCATTCCTGGAGATTTTCAGGAAGATATTGGATAGCCATTTATCCACAATCCTATGAGGATTCTTGCACTGGGCAAAGGGTTGGGCTAAAAGACTTCCAAGGTACCTTTCAACTCTATGATTGTATGTAATGTTTTCTTCATGAAACATCGAGTGGAATAATGGTACTTGGGAGGGGGGGGAGCTGTCATTTCCCCTGAATAAATTAAACTTATGATAATGACCATTGCTTTAAACTGGTATAGGCCCAATTAAAATTTGGACTTCCTTTATAGGCGTTGTCATTATTGATGACCATCCTGAAGTGACAGTAATTGAAGATTCCCAATCCAGCTTGAGCAATGATGGTTTTACTGAAGTAGTGTCAAAAAAACAGCAAAAACGTTTGCAAGATGAAGAACGTAGAAAAAAAGAAGAACAAACAGTGCAGGTTTGACATCATGCATAGCATTTACTTTTTCTTGTAGAAAGAAGTGTTGATTTGAATTATATCTATAGTTACTCAGGTAGTTTCAATTACACTCTGCACTTTCCTTAGTCCCTGCAAAAGAATTCTGATTTACTCCATTTTTGTGATGTCCTGTTCGGTTTGGAATCTTACAGGATAAGTTGATCTTGTGCTATAAGCTATTTACATAATTAATACATTTGATCACTTATTATCCCTCACCATATATTGGGTATTCTGTGGGTCTTCAGATGTTGCTGAATTACAACTGCTTGCATATATCTTGCTGTGATTCATATTCCTTGGCTTGACCAGGAGTTGAAATTGAGAAACATCTGAAGTAAATGGTACTCGGGCATCCTTATTCACAGAACATTCTACTTGAAATTAATGGCAACATTTCCAGAACATTTTTCCTTGAAGGCCACAAGAATTACCATAGTGGATTCAGTTGTGGGGCTAACTAGTTCAATATTCTGTTAAATGACCACCATGGTGTCTTTTAAATTGTTCATTTGTATGCAACTCTTCAGTTCAGATTATTCATCATTATCTGATTGATAGTTGATAAAATGGCCACGGAGGGGAAAAATCTTATAGTTGTAAGAAGGAATATCTGATCAGTCTGCTTGTGATGTATAAATTCATCTAATCATTTTTTTTAATCATCAGGCAAACGTATTTCCTGAGTTAATTGGATGTCATTTGGAAAACATTGTTCTGCCTTTTAAGCATTTCAGTTTCATCTTTCCCTAGTGCAGTGGTTCCCAAACTTGGCAACTTTAAGACTTGTGGACTTCAACTCCCAGAATTCTCCAGCCAGCTCAGCAGAGCTGGCTGGAGAATTCTGGGAGTTGAAGTCCACAAGTCTTAAAGTTGCCAAGTTTGGGAACCACTGCCCTAGTGGATCATCTCTCAACAATATTTTCTTTCTCAGGTCTGGACCAAAAAGAATTCAAATGAAAAAGGGAGATGTACAAATTCTAAACTCCCGCCCAGGTTTGCCAAAAAGCAACAACAGGCGACTGCAGCCGCTGCCGCAGCCGCAGCTGCCACTCAACAAGGCCAGGTTCAACCACAAGTCCCATTGCAAGGTGTGCCTCAGATTCCAAGTCCACAAACTTCGGTCCAGGCACAAACGCCAGCAACTTGTTCATTGAACATCTGTACAGACTATGCAGGAACAAGCAAAACTCTGCAGAATGCACCTGCCCATAATGCTGTAGGAACCGAATTTTGGGATAATAAAGTACCCCCTACAAGCATCCTCAATGACATCTCTAAAAAATGTAAGCAGAGAACCTTTTTTTCCATATACAAGAAAAGAAAAATGTGTACTTTAAAGTGTTGAATTAGCTTCTCTCCCTGGGCTTTTCAGTGTCTCTTGACATGAAATGTTTCTCTTGACATGAAATGTTCCAGCCCTTCATATGGTATTGTTATGTGTAAAAATTAGATCTTAAAGCTGCAGAGTTCAGCCACACACTTTTAAAATCTGTATCATTGTCTGTTCCTTTTTTTTTTCCTCTTAACTCTTCCAAATATTGTAATTTTTCTAGCTACCACTTGAACTTTGAATATGTGAATATTGCCCAAATTATAATAGGAACTGCTTTACCACTTTCACATGCTGTGTTACTCCATTTTTTTCTGGATCAATTCCAGAATTTTTTCTTCTTCAGTTATATATTTTAGTAAATGTCCTGAACGTAACTGCATGGGAGATATCTTTAAACCACTTTTCAAAACTTTTGCTAATATGTTTTCCTTTCAAAAATTCTGATTTATTTTATTCTTTGGATTTTTAGTGGGGCCTATTAGTCCTCCACAGCCACCTTCTGTCAGTGCATGGAATAAGCCTTTGACATCATTTGGATCAGCTACTTCGCCAGAGGTATGATAATAGCTTGAATTTTGATTTAAAACTTGCTGTGCATATATATTTAAATAGAAAAACCTGTATCTAAGCCATATATTGGAAGCTGCATTGCTGGTCATGTTTCAGTTTTAAAAAGTGTTCGGTTGCAGTCACTTTGTAATTGAATGGAATCTATAGTTTTGCTTTTTTCTCTCTCTCTGGATACAGCAAATTATTTGGAGAGAGATAGGCACAGACTGATCCAGGCAGATATAGCCATATAGAAAGTGATAGATACACAAAGTAGAAAACAGAAGGCAGTGTTTAAACCTTTAAAAGTGACTATCAAACACAGTTCTATTGACATGAATGGGGGGGGGGGAGACCCTTGCTGACAAATAGCTGGAAATGTGTGGAAAACACTCCCAGAGATTTTTAAAAACAATCTCAGCCTCTTTTTAGCAAAGGATCTCGTATTCAGATCAAAGGAACCAATAGGCTGTAAAGGGCAAAAGCTTTCTCCCTGACAAAGAATCTGAAATCTCTGCTGAGAATGCGATGTCATTTCCCTCTTGCTTTTTTTTTCTAGGATGCTTTTTCTCTTCATAATTAATTAATAATGATTAGAGTTACTGTTTCATTCACTTGTATAAAGGAAAAGTGACACAAGAGGTGCCTGAAAGCATCTTTTCTCTAAATTAATGGTGCATGTTAAGATCTGATGAGTACAGATTCATCTTGTTTCATTTTTTAATTTTAAATTTAAATACATAATTCAATTAGCTAGTTCTGTTACTGTATAATAAATCCTTCATAATCCATTAGGAATATACTAATACAGTACATCCACCTACTTCCAACCATTCACTTAATAACTGTTTAAAGTTACAGTGGCACTGAAATATGACCAGTTTTCACATGTTAAGATTGTTGCAATACCCTTACGGTCATGTGTTCAAAATTTGGATGCTTGGCAATCAGCATGTATTTATGACAGTTGCAGTATCCCAAAGTCATGTGATCACCTTTTGCTACCTTCTGACTAGCAAAGTCAATGCTTGTCAGAAGTCAGAGTCATTTAACAATCATTAGCAACGTAACAACTACAGGGATTCACTTAACTATTGAAAGAAAGGTTCTACTATGGGACAAAATTCACTGTCTTGCTTAGCAACAGAAATTTTGGGCTCAGTGATGGTTGCAAGCTGTAAGACTATCAGTAATTGATAGTGTCAACTAATACAGTGCTCAGTGTTTCTTTTTAACAGTCTATTTTCTAACCTATTTTTAACTCGTCTAGAGCAGTGTTTCTCAACCTTGGCAACTTGAAGATGTCCGGACTTCAACTTCCAGAATTCCCCAGCCAGCGAATGCTGGCTGGGGAATTCTGGGAGTTGAAGTCCGGACATCTTCAAGTTGCCAAGGTTGAGAAACACTGGTCTAGAGTGCCCATATATAAGCAAAATCTCATTAAGTGCAGAATAATCCTCGACTAATGACCACAGTTACTAAGCAAGTCATTGTTAAATGAGTTGTGCCCCTATTTGACTGTTTTTTGCTATGGTTGTTAAGTGAATCATTACAGTTACTAAGTGAATCATGCGGCCATTAAGCAAATCTGGCTTCTCCCATTGACTGACTTTGCTTGGGAGAAGCTCCCTAGAATGGGATTGCAAATGAGTCCATTGGAAAAACATGCCAGTTGCCAAGCACTCATAATGTGATCCCATGATTGTGGAGATGCTGCAATAGTCATAAGTGTAAGAACTGGTCATAAGGCACTTTTTTAAAGTACCTCTTGTAACTTTGGTCTTTAAACGAACAGTTATTAGTCAAGGACTGCCTGTATTAAAGACTCAATCTCCCCTTTAATACTTTTTGTTTTAAGAAGATGTACTTCAAACCTACTGTTTACAACTTGTTTTGGACAGGTGACATTGCTGTGTGTGTGTGTGCGCGCGCGCGCGCATTCAAGAAAGTAAACACTATCTTATATTAGTTTTAGCTATTTTCCACAAGGGGTTTACCTATTTTTTTTAATGAACAACTAGAAAATGATAATGCTTTAAATTAAACTATTTTTAAAGCATTAGTTTCATATTTAAGCCAATTTGAAAATTGTTCAAGGTTATATTAACAAACATACTACTCAATAGTATTACATAGTAATGGCATTTGTAAACTTGGAATTCTTATTTCTCCCTTCTCCGATTTGCTATAAACAATTTAACCTGTGTCATTTTACCCTCATGTATAAAGTTGTTCAGTAATTCTACCATTCCTGCATAATTAGAAAGATACAGTGGGTTTGAAATATAAAAAAAATATGGTAAAATAGATACTTTGTTGTTATTTTTTTCCAACCAGGATATTTTTTGTTGATTTCTATGATTTAACTTGTTAAAATTTAATGAATATGGTGGGTTCACAAGTTTTTTAGGTGTAACTTCTCCAAAATATTTAAATGCTTCAGTACAGCACAGAAGTCTACTTATAAATTAAAAAAAATTGGTGCCTTTACTAGGGAACCCCTGCTGGACAGGAAGGTGGAATTGATTTGGGAATAGAAACCATTCAGTTTGGAGCTCCAGCCTCTAGTGGGAGTGATAGTGAAGTTGGGCCGGCTTCAGATAAGGCCTCAGAAAAGCTTCTTGAACCAAAGGAACAAAGGCAAAAACAACCACGTGCAGGACCTATAAAAACACAAAAGGTGGGTGAAATTTTCCAATTCTCATCAATTAGAGAGGCACCCTGAAATTTAATCCTCCAATAATTTTGAACAAAATGTATAATAAAAAGCTCCATTCCTCATTGGATCTTGTGAAAGAGAAGTTAATGATTGAAGTCATTGTAGTGAGGAGAAGGAATTGTTGAGTTCATACAGTATACAGGATGCTTAAACAGCCAGGACTCATCTTTAATTTAATAGAGGCTGCTCATGTCTGAATGAGTTATCTTCTATCTTTAACAGAATTTTTTATCATAATTGGGTTTTAGTTGCTTTTTATTAATGCAATAGATTTCCCAATTGCAGATAACTGTCGCAGAGGAATTTTACTGAATAAACAAACAATGTAAAAAATTGGAAGTAGTTGGAACCTAGAATCATAGATTATAGAACTATATGTCATCAGATCTGTCTCTTTTTCTTCTTGCCATTCTGTTTTTTATTATTCTTTAAAAAGTCTGTAGCTTTTTACAGTGCTCAGGAGTACAGTTCACATTTCTGAATGTTCCTAATTTGGTTTGGGTTACTTTTTACAAATCTGAAGTTTCCTTGGAATCAAACAAAATCTAATTTGACTTGGAATTTGGAAATCTGCAAAATCTGATGAATATTTCCACATTCGATCACCCCTCTTCCCTCGATAGAACATAGCTAAAAGATAAATTCTTCTTTGAATGATGTTCAACTCCTGATAGCTATGTAATTATATTCAGGATTTTTTTCTGCTCTTCTCAATATAGTCTAAAGCAGTGTTTCTCAACCTTGGCAACTTGAAGATGTCCGGACTTCAACTTCCAGAATTCCCCAGCCAGTGAATGCTGGCTGGGGAATTCTGGGAGTTGAAGTCCGGACATCTTCAAGTTGCCAAGGTTGAGAAACACTGGTCTAAAGCCTTCAGGTTTTCTGATATGCCAAATATTTACTCCAATCCTGCTTAAAGTTTTGGAATCAAGATAGTTAGGTATTATACAAATACAAATTTTGATGAGCCACAAAAGCAACTTAGTGGTTACTGGATTGATTACTTCCATACCTTCTTCTGGAATTCAGCATATACATATATTTACATTAAATATTAATTCTTTTTAGCTTCCAGATATGAATCCAGTAGAAAGCAAAGAATACAAGCCTGGCCCAATTGGGAAAGAGCGATCACTAAAGAACAAAAAAGTAAAGGAGGCTCAACAGGGCGATTCTGAGATGCAAGAAAAGTCCAGTGCTAATACAGTCAGAAGCTCAGATCCTATTACTTCTAAAGAAAACAAATCAACTAATGAACTTAGTACAGAAATAGGAACAATGATATCAGTGTCGGCTGCAGAATTTGGAACAACTCAAAAAGTAAGAAAAGAGAAGTGCCTATTTCCTGCCCAAATTTTATCAAATACATTCTTTTATGGTGCTTTCTGAAGTGAGAGCGTAAAAGAAGTGTATGTCTGTTTGTCGTGAAGACAATCTTGATATTAGTCGACTTCTCCCCATTTCAAAAAATAGAAGTAGTTCTCAAGTTAGAACCATAATTGAGCCTATCAATTACAGTCATAAGTTGTGACAGATAAAGCAGGTCACATGTGACCAACCGGCTTGTTTTCTGATGGTTGTTAAGCTACTGCAGTGGTTGTTAAGTGAATTGACGGTTTGCTATGGATTAGTTTTTGCCGGAAATCAGAAGTAATCACCAGTTTCTGGCAAAATTGTTGTCAACCCTGGTCACATGACCACAGCTGGTTGCAAATGGCCAAAACTGCAAAATGGTTGATAAGTGCCCAAACTATGATCATATGACTGGGTGTTCGGGCGTGCGTGCATGTGTTACGTCAGAACTTTGAAACCAGGTTGAAAGTAGCTTTTAGGGGTTCTGTCAAAACTTCAAACATTTGGTAAACTGAATATAAATTGAGGGCTAGCTGTAGTAAGATTTATTATCACTATTTTCTACTGTTTCTATAGTTTTCTAATATTTCTATAGTAGAAAAATGTGATATTGGAGAAGGTGTGATTCATTGAAACTGTAGAACTTGTAGAACCTAACTCTATAGATGCTTATTGAGCCAAGGTGGCGCAGTGGTTAATTGCAGCACTGCAGGCTACTTCAGCTGACTGCAGTTCTGCAGTTCGGCTGTTCAAATCTCACCGGCTCAGGGTTGACTCAGCCTTCCATCCTTCCGAGGTGGGTAAAATGAGGACCCAGATTGTTGTTGGGGGCAATATGCTGACTCTGTAAACCGCTTAGAGAGGGCTGAAAGCCCTATGAAGCGGTATATAAGTCTAACTGCTATTGCTATTATCCTTTCAATTATTGGGATGTCCAATGTTTCAGAAGTCTCTTAATCATTTTTTGATATTAGTAGTTAATAACACGTGCAGATTATTATTAGAGTCATAACAAACGCATAGAGTCCAATATGAGGCTATTCATCTTGGCTCATTTTGGGATTGATATACAATATTTGAGAACTACTTCTTGTGTTAAATAATGCAAATGATGTACTTTTGGAAAGAGTCTTTCAATCCACAGTTTTTCTGACATGACATAAGGCAGCAGTCCCCGAACTTTTTGGCATCCGGAACTGTTTCGTGGAAGACATTTTTCCATGGAGGTGGGGGGAGGTGCAGTGCACAATCCAGATCCTTCTCATGGCACAGTTTACAGTAAGGTTTGTGTTCCTATGAGAATCCAATGCCTGATGATCTGAGATGGAGCTTAAATGGGATGCTTGTACAAATGGGAGCTGCTGCAAATACAGATGAAGCTTCGCTCTCTCACCTGTAACTGTGTGGCCCCATTTCCTAACAAGCCATAGACCAGTGCTGTTTCATGGCCTGGTGGTTCAGACCACTGAATAGGGTATTTGAATATCAAATGTGTTGCTAGTGTTTTCTATATTTTAAATGAGTGGGAATGTTAAGTTTCCTGCTCAGTGGTTATATGAAATTTAAAATCATGTTTCAGTTTTTTTTAATTATTGATAGACTATAGCTCTTTACATTTACTCTCTAAATAATAACCAACAAAGATTTACTTTTTAAAAAAATACTGAATATGTAAAGTTAACAGTTTTGTTATTCTAATAGAGAAATTCAGCTTGGGAATTTGAAAATGACAAAGTATTCTCTTCTGCTCAAAGTTCAAATCATATTTTTGAGTGAAGTTACATATAAGATTTAGATAAACTGGTTGAACTTTTTTTACAGGAGTCTGTAACAGACTATACAACACCGTCTTCTCATTCAAGTACAGTGGCAACAAACAGTGCAAAGATGGAGGAGGCTTTAGTTACAAATGTAGGTGTATTGATTATCTCATAGTATAATTCCTCTATTTAATTTTATTTTAAAATTAAATTATTTTAGATTTTGGTTATACCTGTAGAAAAATATTATTAAATAAGCTACATTTCTCTTATCTACTGAGAATAAAATCATGGCTTTTAAATAATGTTAACATATATACTCCCAATTAAAATATCCTGGAAAACTTGTAAAAAGTGATTAGATGTTGAAACAATATCTACAAGATAGGTGATGTGCTCTTTGCATATTAAAATAACATGCGGTAAAGAAGTGTACACTTATTATTACTGGGTTATTAAATGAATAATTAAGAAATATTCATTCAGGGTAATTACATAGTACACTCTTAAATCTGGCACGTCCAAAAACAATGATTTGTGTAAATATCATAGGTAGGTAGAGATAGATATAGATATATAGATACATGTTCAATTGAACACGTAGTTACACATTCTAGAGCATTTATATACATACGCATCACTTTCTGTCTTCTGTTGTGTCTCAAATCCTTTTTTTCCCATGAGGTTGCTTTCAGTTGCAATAAGACCAATGGCTAGTTTCGCATCTTCACACATCCAGCAAAAACATGTTTTGCCGTCACTGATCTGACATCCTTTGATTTCATTATTCCATCTTTTGCACATTCAGATACAGGTGTACAATAGTATTGTTGGGGCAGCAAATTAAGAATTGATAGTTAGTTCAGCTATCTTTTTCCCAGCAATATACTGCTGTCCTACATTATCATGTTCATTATCATCCTCAGATTTGTTAACACCCATGTCAAATTACACTCCCTAAATATAAGAGGACATTCTCCTTGACTCATCCTTTGATGCCCTTCCTACTGAAGTCTTAGATGGAAGATACAAAGATATCCCATTTGGGCTAAGATTTTACTTTTGTAATAAAGAACAAAGGCCCTAGGAACTGTTAAGCACATGTTATTATATCACGTATTTTATACTGTCATGTGGACTGGTTAATAGTGTCATTCAATTTTACCAAAATCCAAAAGGATCAAAGTAGCTATATCCCTCTTTTAAAAAATGTTCCTCGTATGAACCATTTTATGATCATGATGATGATAATCACATTTTTATCTTGCCTTTTTAAATATATAACTCAAGGTGACAAACAAAGCTAATGATCCTGCCTCCTATAGTTCCCATAACATCCCTGTAAGGTTGGCTGGGCTGAGAGTGCCTATCCCAAAGTCACACCTCAGTTGGCTGTTGTGCCTAAGGGAGGCCTAGAACTCACAACGTCTTGATTTCTAGGCCAAAACCTTCGTCCCTACTCCAAATTTACTATTTTATAATACTAAGATGTATATATGAAATTCTTCATACACCCTCTATCCCACTGTAATATCAGAGCAGTCCACATCCCACCTTTAGTGTGAGCTCACCGCACAGCACCCCAATTTGTGTCTATGCTGGCCTTAGACAAAACCTGGGACAAGCTGAAGCAGAGAATAATTGATTTTGATATACAAAGAAAGAAAACTAGTATTTCAGATCTCCACCACAATGAACATTTACCACCCCTAAATATTTTTATTGTCTACCACATAGGAGACCTTTCACATAGTCACAGTTGGATCATCTTTTAACAGTGATGCTGTTGAAAAGGTTTAATGGCTTTCTTACCAAGGTCATTTTGTTTCTTTATTAAATGCATGTGCACACATAGGCACGTATGTATGTATACAGGTGTCCATCTCACACAAAATGACTTGAGTAGCGTACAACATTTGTTCAACGTCTGAAATTGAGATAATAGCATACATACTTCTGAAGTGTCTATTTCCAATCTTGGAAGGTAGAATTAATTTCTCATCATAACCTATCAGATTAATTTCATGTGGCAATAGTGGGATATCTTTTAAATTATCAGGATTGAGAAGTTTCCAGAATGGTTGCCAAATTTTAATCATATAACAATGACAAACTGGACCTGACTAAGTATGCTTGCTGTCAGGTAGAGTAAGTTTGTACTGGGTGTTTATATTCTTTTTTTCAATTATCTTTTTTGGTTTGGGAGTGTATGTTCAAGGAGTGTATGTTTTTTTTTTTTTACTAGTTTTAAACTTTAACGTTATGATTTGTTTAGTCAGAGCTTAAATTATGAAATTAATTTTCAAAAACTCAAGGCAAAAGGAAAAAAAATGTTTAGGAGAGAGATATGTGAAAATGAAAATGCTTCTAATCAAACTGTAGTTCTGCAATATCTGTTACTGCTGCTGTATTAGTAGATGGAGCAGGGATTTTATTTAACTGTCTAAATGACTCCTTCCTACTCTTCAGCCTTTACTGTTACTGTAAGGGAAAAGTTTGTAAGTTTTTTTGAGGACTTTAAAAATAGGAGTAGCACAAAAAACTAATAATTTAGGGAAATGAGTGCAGTGGGGTCTAAATGGTTAGGTTTTGTGACGTACGAATATGAATTATAACCATTCTGAAAGCAAATATGTTTCTTAAGTTTCATATACTGATTTTCTATTAATGTTTCCTTGCCATCTGGTATCTAATTATTTACTCTATGTAAAAAAATAAATATTTTAGTGAATATATTTATGAAATAATTATGAATGCAATATAATTTTAACCTTGGAGAGAAAAGTTGCTAATTAAAAGAGCGGTTTTGATCATGCCTGCTCTAATTAATGTTGCAAAGTGTCAAATGTTATCTGGCAGTTAAAAGTATCTTTTACCATGGAAGCCTTATTATTTTGCTTTGCAATGCCATCTCTTAATTATTGTATTTGGGGTGGGGGGGAGAAACAGCATTAAATGTATTTCATGATATTCAGTACACTGGGTTCTGCTTTGTGAGAGTGTTTGTTGCTTTCCTTTTCAGAAGAATGTAAAGCTTTTAGTTGAATCACATCCAAGCAGAACACCTTATAATTCTTAGATACTGGTGTATTTGGTGTATTTAATTTTGGCCTTGTGTTTCCTGATAGTTGCATGACTTAAAAATTCATATACCAGTACTTCTATTGGTTAAACTAGCTTTATTCCATTCTTTGGCAGTATCATGGAAGGTGATGATTTTAGTGCACTGGAAATGATGAGGAATAAGAAGTTCTGCTTGTCTTTTCTTGTTTGGGAAATCTTAAGGTGTCTAGTCAAGTTCAAATAACTTCCTCTTAAGTCTTGAATCCAACCGAAAAAGTTTCAAGGAAAATCATGCTATATTTGCAACAGTTCTATGCTTTTATTGCATTATAGAATGAAATGTATCTGAAAGATACATTTATATCACATCCATATGAATCTTTTGAGGCTCAATCTAAAGGAAATTTATTTTCCTGATTTTTTTAAAATTATATAATATTCCAAGATCATAAATGATCAGATAATTTTTTCCATGTGTCAGATACCCCACCCACCCCTTCTGAATGCTTCCCTGTCAAGTACTTAAGTGGAAGACTACCTCGTTCAGTTGCACTGCTTGAGCTCTTGGTTTTGATGGAGCTTTTGTCGTAGACCCAGCTAGAATGTGACCTCTGTTGCCTACCTTTCAGGTGCCCCTGCCCCACACCCTTCCCCTCCCTAGGAGGGAGACTCTACAACAGAGCTCCAGCCTAACTCCAGTTTCTCCCGCTACCGTCGACCTCACCCTCAAGGTATGTACCATGCCACTTTCAGGGGAATTTTCTTGCATGCCGGGAAAAGATTTAAACTTTTGCTGTAGATTAGGGAGAGGCATACCTTTTTTTCTAAATAACTAAAAAGAGAGTATTCATTGTATTCTTTTAACCCTGTTTGGTAACTTAACACCAAGAAACTGCTATCTGCCATGTATAATTGGATATAGATCAGAATAAATAGTAAGATTTATCTATGATTTCCCTTTCCACAAAGAACATATAGAAAAGGTGCTTATAGCTAGTATTGCAGAGCTTTTTAAATTTAATTTTTCTGATTTGTATTAACATGGTTGAACATAGCAATTTGATGGATATTGGTTAGCTGATCTATGATACATCAAATTGAGAAATAAACTGATTAATATTTGTGGACTTCTTTATAGTTACTGTTTTGGTAGTTAATTGTAGTCTTTTGGTGATGATATGAGAGGTAGGAGATAGGCAAAATTCATATTGACAATATATATTTTTGGTTGGATACCATTTCAATTTGCTATAAAGTAAGTGACAAGAATTATTTGGAGATTGACATCAATTCTGTTCAAAACAGTAAGAATGCTACAGCTCTCTCTCTTCTTCCTCTTCCTCTCCTCCTTTCCAATTGGATTCCAATTAGAATCCAGAAAGGATTCTAATTAATATGACTTTAAATTTTAATTTCAGAGGAGCAAAATTGTATTAGCAAAAGCAAGTTTAATAAGCTAAATACAATATTAAGGAGAAGTCAGAAAAAAAATCTTAGCAATCTTGATGAATAATATAGTTTTATATCAAAGAACCACTTTTTACAAACATTGTTTTCATCTTAAGCATATCTGGAGCATTCTAACATTAAAACCAGAAATTCTGATTATTTACTAAACACAGGAGCTTTCTAATATTAATAATTTGGTAGATAAATTGATTTCTTTTAATATGACATACTTTAGTTTTAGCTCTTACATTAATAGATCTCTATCCCCTTCTATCTTACCTTATTGTCTATTCATATATCCATTCATCGATGCATACGTAAGTCCAGATATAGATATATACATACATCTGTGCTTTTGCATAACTCATGTCAGTGAAATTTCTCTAAATTTAATACGAATATTCCTCCTGGAATTTGATTATTTCTTGAAGATATTATTTACTGTTGGCATACATGAGGAAAACTTGCTTTATATATATGCATAAAGAAGTCATAAACAGAATTTAAAAATGAAACTTTGAGGCTCAATACTTCCTAAAATAATTATAAAACAAGTAAGAGCTGTTTTTAGAATATACTGTATATATATCTGCTTAATCCTGTCTCTAAAAAAAATATTTAAGCATCCTTTTTTATCTTTTCAAATATGATATGTTTGAAGTATTGTTCTGACAAAGTACTGTGCCTTTTTTCTAATAAGCATGTAGTGATTTTATGCAACAATTTTCAAATTGTATTCTGTGGAATGTTTTTCATCTATGAGAATCTGGGGACAAAAAAACATTCCGTCAAATACAGCCAATTTCCTTTCTGTAGGAAGATGCTAAGTACATACACACACACCATTGATCATCTTATAAGAGCTGAATTATTATCAGTATTGAATTCCCAGTTAATATCATTATTCCACGTATCTCAATTAAATGTTTATATAAGAATCTATCTACTCCACCAAGATGGCCTTTCTATGCTTGGATAGTTCATACAAGGTAGTCCTCCACTTATAACCATTCATTTAGTGACTGTTCGGAGTTACAACGGCACTAAAAAAAAGACCATTTTTCATACTTGCAACAGTTGCAGCTTCCACATGGTCATGTGACCAAATTTGGACATTTGATGACAGCGGGAGTCCCAAGGTCATTTGACCACTTTTTGCAAACTTCAGTCAAGCAAAGTTAATGGGGAAGCCAGATTCACTTAACAATTGTGTTACTAACTTCACAAATGCAGCAGTTCATTTAACAACTGTGACAAAAAGATCATAAAAGGGGGGTAAACTCACTTAGAAACTGCCTTGCTTAGCAATATAAATTTTAGGCTCAATTGTGGCTGTAAGTTGAGGGCTACCTGTATCCTAGAAAAAGTGTTTTAACAAAGTCTTCATGAGGTGCCAGTAAATGTCTACATAAAATTGATTGTGTTTTGAGAAACTACAATTTTGTTTATTTACACAGTGCAGTTGGGAACAGTTTCATCAATATATTATTGCTATTCAGCTTGGCGCCTTGCTGGCATCCTGTCATCAAAGGTGGGGGGTGGGGGGGACACAGGAGAACAAATGGGCAATAAATGTATGGGGATGTAATGGGAGAGGGGATGACAGTTTTACGGAGACCAGAGAAGCAAGAACCAGTTTGTGTAGCATTACAGGCAATGCATTCTGAGAAAAGAATGTGGACTGACCCAAATATCTCAGCATTTCTCAAAACACCTATGGGGCTCTTCATTGGCTTAAGACAAACTGGTCATGGGGGAGGAGTTGGAATGTAGCCAGGAGCCTTTAGTTTTTTTTTTTTTAAAAAAAAAAACACTTTCACCTCATCCAAATGGAGTCAAGGGTCTTTCTTTCCTAAGGGACCTGACTGGGGTAGGTCTGTCACTGATATTGCTGAAATATGAATATCTATAAATTTATTGTGGTATAGTGATTGGCATTTGATATAATTTATCTGAAAGCTATAGCATTATGTTTTGACAGTGGAAATGATCAGGATCACCTCTGTATTCTTAAATTATGAAAGTCAACCATAATTTGAGATGCAGAGCTTAAAACCACATCACCTTTTCATTGATTTGATTATTGCACAATCTATGTTGCAGTTTCCAGAGAAGTAATACAAGAAAGGAATGAATGATGTTAATATGGTGGGCTTTACAAATAACAAGCATTACTGGACTGTCATCAGATCTATAGGAGTTGATTAATTTCAGAAACAAAGCCAATTGACTGTCGTCATATTTATTTGCAATGCAGTAATGGAGTTTGCTTTTCCCGGAAGATTTACTTAAAATAATAGGGAGTTGTCTAGAATAAATTGAAACAAAAATACAGAAATGAAAAAGTAGCAGTCTTAAAAATAAAGCCTTCTTTTTTTTTTTGCGGAATAGATGGAATCTGCTCGCAAAGCGTGGGAGAATTCACCAAATGTGGGAGAAAAGAGTTCACCTGTTACATCATCAGCATCTCCTGTTACTGGTGGTAATAGTAGTAGCAGCGGAGGTGGGAACAGCAGCAGTAGCAGTGGACCAACCAGTGGTACATACAGCTCTTTTTCAAGTGCACCCATGCCTCCAATTCCTGTAGCTTCTGTTACACCTACAACTTCATTGTCAGGTATTAACCTTTAGGAAATATGACTGAGAAATGTGACTGAATAACTTGCTATCTTTTTTAAATGAAGCTCTCTTTGTTTCCTTACTTTATTTACTTTACTTATTATTTGGTTCAGTCCTGTCTAAAAAACAAGGTGTGTGATATTTTAGTTTATTCACTTAATTTTGTATCCTTTTAAATTGTTTATCTAAGTTATTAGAACTAAAAACTTTGAATCATTCTTCTTTAACAAAGCTCTCGTGCATTTTTTATATTGATGATTAGTGAAAAGGGACACGGTGACCCAGTGGCTAAGACGCTGAACTTGTCAATCAGAAAAGTTGGCAGTTGGGCGGTTCAAATCCCTAGTGCCGCATAACGGAGTGAACTTCCATTACTTGTCCCAACCTAGCAGTTCGAAAGCATGTAAAAATGCAAGTAGAAAAATAGGAGCCACCTTTGGTGGGAAGTAACAGAGTTCCGTGCACCTTCGGCATTTAATCATACCTTGAACTGTATAACTTTAATTAGGTGTGTATCCAAGCAAAAGTGCTTTACAAAAGCGTTGCTAAAAGTAAAAGATTCCCCTCGCACATATGTGCTAGTCGTTCCCGACTCTAGGGGGCAGTGCTCATCTTCGTTTCAAAGCCGAAGAGCCAGTGTTGTCCGAAGATGTCTCCGTGATCATGTGGCTGGCATGACTAAATGCCAAAGGCGCATGGAACTCTCTTACCTTCTCACCAAAGTTTATCCCTATTTTTCTACTTGCATTTTTTTACGTGCTTTTGAACTGCTAGGTTGGCAGAAGCTGGGACAAGTAACAGGAGCTCACTTAGTTACGCGGCACTAGGGATTCGAACTGCTGACCTTTCTGATCGACAAGCACAGTGTCTTAGCCACTGAGACATTGCATCCCACTATATTTTGAGTCATTTAAATTTTATGACCCTTTATGACAGCATCTCTGAACAATTTTCATATATGTTTCTAAACACAGAATATAGAGTAATGGTTTTTTTCAATGTATAGCATAGTTCAGTTCTCTTCATCATTTAATAAAACTGCAAAATAATTTTGAAATCCTTCCTCTAAAATACAGGTATCAAACTTGGTCTTGTCACGTGACATATCACGTCGTATGTTTTTTGCCTTAGTAGCGCTGGGGTGGGCGTGGCCTGCACATGACACCTCCAGCCTTCAGGCCGCCAGTTTTATACCCCTGCTCTAAAGTAACTATCACTTGGTGTTTCTGAAAGGAAAAAAAAATAGCTTGCACTCCAGCCAAACATTCGATGCTTACAGCCATTGCCAGTGGCTCTGTGAAAGCTCTATAAAATTTCTGTCTGGAATGAACAAATAATGCAGACTATCAGGATAATTCTTAATCAACTTATAATAGTATATCAGGAGTTTTTTAGTAGTAGAAATAGATGGATGTGATAAAACACAATAGAAGAGTATTAGAAGATTTATAATTAATTCTGTCAGAATATTAATCTTTTCTAAATGTTACATTCTGATTATAATAATGAATAATAGTAATTGCTCTGCCATTATGTCCACATGGTGCAGGTTTATTATCTTTTGAATGTGTGGTCCTAATGAACATAAGCTTGGGAACAAACAGTAAATCTTTTAAATCAGCAGCCCCCAACCTTTTGGGCACCAGGGACCAGTTCTGCAGAGAAAGGTTTTTCCGCAACCAGAAGGGGTGTGGTTTTGTGTGCTGCCTGCATCCCATGGATGGGGCTTCGCTTGTTTGCACAGCCTGGTTGCTGGCATGCCGTGGACCGGGATTTGGGGATCTCTGTCTTGGATTGTTGAGATAAATAAATCAGTTTTGATCCAATATAATATAAGACACATAGGACATAATCTGAGTCTACTGTGAAAATATTTCTACTAGTACAACCTTTTGGCAGATTTCTATCTAAAACAGGTGACCTGGTGCCTTTCAGTAGTTTTACCATTTGTCATATTTATGGGAGTTCATCTTACTTGGAGAGTTTTCAATAATTCTAATCCTATTCCTTTCCTTAGCCCACCCTGGCTGTTAAAATTTTTAAGTTATGGACCAATATTTTTAGCCATTTCTATAAAGAACATTCTGATTCGGATAATTCAGGGATATAAAGTAATGTTCAAGTTTATCTGGTTTTTGGATAATCTTAAAACTTTAATTCTTAAATTCATTTTATAGGGTATCAAATTGCTTGTGTCTATTGCCTGTGTCTAGGAAAATAATGTAAAATGTCTAAAAGAGCTGAGATACGTTGCTGTCATTTGAAATAAATAATCTTGGTTTAGCAAATAGTACACCAAGGAAAACGTATTGTTCTTTAATATATCTTCAAGGAAATTGTCATTGTTGAAGAATAACTGCTATGAACAGTATGTCTCTGTTTATGCATATCATTAAGGTTTCACTATCATGCCATTTTATGTAGACAGTCATATCCTTATACAATAATGTTCTGAAATTGAAAAAAATATTTAATAAATATTGCTGTACTGCAATTTGCATTAAGATTCATCTAATTAGGTGCAACCTTCGAAGGTGAATCAATCTTTTGATTATTATGCTGAAATATTTTGTCAGTAACTCTAGAATCTTTGCTTTGCTGATTTTAGGAGCTGGAACATACACTACTTCCTCATTAAGTACAAAAACCACTACAACCTCCGATCCACCCAACATCTGTAAAGTGAAGCCACAGCAATTACAAACAAGCAATTTAGCATCTGCTGGTCATTTTTCCCAGTTAAGCTGTATGCCATCTCTGATCGCCCAACAGCAACAAAGTCCACAGGTCTATGTGTCTCAGTCAGCAGCAGGTAATGTGACAAATTTATTCATTAAATTTAAATTCATCTCTTCTGTTGGCTTATTTTCTGGTATGCATCCTTACAAACTTCAGTATTGTTTTCTCCTAGTCATATAAACTTAATTTAGTATACAAAAGAATATTGGATTAGTTATTTTTTTTGTTCATATTTTAATTTTTATCTTTTCTTGTGGTCCTATAGCTCAAATTCCTGCATTCTATATGGATACAACTCATTTGTTCAATACCCAACATGCCCGTTTGGCTCCTCCTTCACTTGCCCAGCAGCAAGGATTTCAACCAGGACTCTCACAGGTACATTTGGTGAGATTGCTAAACAAACAGTTTGCAAATATTTTCAGCTTAAATTAAATCAATCTAGCTTGAAATTTATCCAGCCTTGTTTTTTGTTATCACTCTTGCAATAAAAAGTTAAGTTAGCATTGGTGCTAGTTGGTTTTAATTACTCTAGTGAAGAAATTATATCATTCTAGGTGAAAATGAATAAGTGATAGGTTGAAGTAAAAGAGGTATGGGGTGATAATATTCACCAACAAAAATATTGTCTCAATACTATTGGAAAAAGAGCAGGAATTATCTTAGAAGCAGCTTGAGAATTGTGTTTATCACTAGTATGCAGATTTGATGGGGGGGGGGGGAATTTTGCATCTGATTTAAGAATTCCGAGGAGGACTGGTTATTGATATTTAAATTTTAAATTTAAAAATCTGCTTGATAAACATCCTAATACCTTCATACAATGAAATCTTTATTTTATCAACCAATGTTACAAATACAATAGGAATTTTGGATGTTGCCCATGCTAAATTAAGGATTCCCTATATGGAAATATTTTACATTATATCAAAAAGATAACAGGAATCCCAATATGCAAGATTATTTTTGTGAATTGAACAGTAGGATGTCTGAGACAGTTCAGAATTCTTATAAATCAAATTTCGCAGTAGCATTTTCCATCCTACAATGAAATTGCTGTACAATTATTAGTTGAGATGCCACAGGTTAGAGCTACTGGGGCATATTAAAATGTCCAGTTCACTATTCAATATATCATTTTATTGTTAATCATTCATGTGGTTTTTAAAATGGGAAGCAATATACAAATATTATAAATAATTGAATGTACAGTTAAAGGATGTGAAACCATAAGGCTAGAATAGACCTCTATGTTGAGAGACTGGAGAAAGAATCAGTGGATTAGCTAAGTGGATTTAGCTCAGGAGAGTTTCCTATGTCAATAGGTTGCATAAATATTGAAATTATGTCTCTTCCTTCCAGCCTACTTCAGTTCAGCAGATACCAATTCCAATATATGCTCCTCTTCAAGGACAGCATCAAGCTCAACTGAGTTTAGGAGCAGCACCTGCTGTCTCCCAGGCCCAGGAGTTGTTTAATTCTTCTCTGCAGCCCTATAGGTAAGTCTTATAAATAAATAAATGAATAAATAAATAAATAAATAAATAAATAAATAAATAAAATCAGGAAACAGAAAATACTGGTTTCTGTCTTTTTCTCTTAAATAGCACTTAGACTGATATACCACTTCATGGTACTTTACGGCCTCTCTTAAGTTGTTAACAGAGTCAGCATATTGCCCCCAACAATCTGGGTCCCCATTTACTGACCTTGGAAAGATGGAAGGCTGAGTTAACCTTGAGCTGGTGGGAATCAAACTGCTGACAGTCAGCAAAATTAACCTGCAATACTGCATTCTAACCACTGCACCACCATGGCTCTAAATATTTGCATTACCGGTACTAGTTTATTCATACCATTAATACAAGATAATTTGCACTATATTTTTAAATTACTTTAACATCAATTAAGTTTATTTAACTGAGGTGGTGGTGGTAGTTGATGTTGTTCCAAATCGGTGTTCAGATTTCCTTATAGTGAAAGAAGGTTTGGAATTTTTAAGAATATTAGTACATGCATTTTATGAAATATCTTCTTTGTTCAGAATGTTACTGGTTGTTTGTAATTGCACCTGAAAGAAGCATTGTGAGTTGTTAGATGAATGATATGCTGCATTTTTGTAGCATATTCAAATAAGTAGTGAGGTTTGGATTTAAGTAGTTCCTAATCAGGCATGTCATTTAAGCAAGTACAGTACAATTACTAATTAATTGTTTACAAATACTCGTTTGAAGTTTTACAAATAAGATGAAAAACAATCTAAAATTAAAAAAATACTTGTTTATCTGCGATTGGCTCTGCCCCTTCAATAACGTCACAACCCTACAAATATTCTAATAAGAAAGAGAATATATCCTTAGTTCAGAAAAAAAAAATGATTACATTGACTAAAGCTATTATTTATTTTACAAATTCCGTATTAACAGTGGCTTGTTATTTTTAGAATATGGAATCATAGCTTTGAGCTCTGATTCATAGTAATGCAAGATAAATTAATGCCATAAAAAGGTAGTGTCACTCAGCTATGTGTGATTTCTTGCTTTTTCTAAATTTCTCCTCTGATGACAAACTTTGTGCCATATCCAATTCCTAATTGACGATAGAGAAAAGCAATCTCACCACCATACACCAAGCCTTATATTTCTTGACACAAAGTACAACATACAACTCTTTTGCAGGAGAGTAAGTACAGTAGTTTAAAAAAGGCATACTGGCAAAGCATAAACTGTATAAAAATATAGTTGTCTCTCAAAAAAATTCCTCTGTGCATCACATACTTACAAAAAAAGGTTGCTGGAGCATTTGCTCTGTTGGTTTTTATGCACATATTTGATGGTGAATGAAATTTTGATAATTTATTTTTATTTTTTGTTACCAGTTTCCCTTCTATTTGCAGATCACATTTATACTTAAGTCCTGTATTTGGAACAGTACAGTAGTTTAGCCTGAGGAGAGTCCTGCTTAATTTCTTTCCTCTTAAGCCTAACCACATGGGTAGAGCATCAAATAAACCAAGATTCCAAATTCAGCCGTAAATAATATTAAAAGAAGCCAGAATTTCAGTCATGCTTTACATTGGAATTCTTTGCCTTAATCAAAACTACAGCTATGTTGGTTAAATATAGGCATAGAATTATATGCAAACTATTGTATTTACTTGAGTATTTCGCTCATTTTTTTCAGTGCAACTTTAAACTTTTCTTTCTGTGGCAGCTGTCTAATAATTTAACAATATTTAAATAATTAATTTAGACCATTTTTTTTAAAATAGATCTCAGCAGGCATTTATGCAGAGTGGCTTGTCTCAGCCATCTCCAGTGGTTCTTTCGGGCACAGCTTTACACAACTTCCCAACAGTGCAGCATCAAGAACTTGCCAAAGCACAGTCAAGCCTTGCATTTCAACAAACATCCAACACTCAGCCTATTCCTATCTTGTATGAGCACCAGTTAGGTCAACCTTCAGGATTAGGAGGTTCCCAACTTATTGATACACATCTGCTCCAGGTAAGAAAAACAATGGATACTAACATGGCTTTTGAAGCTTTGGAATTATTGCCTTTTTTGATGTAACAAAAGGAAACTGATGTATATAAACATAGTTATGGAATGTTTATGTTTAGTGTCCCAACAGAAGGTTTATTTTTTAGAATCCTGCTAAATTGTGACTTAAATTGTGAACAGAGGCCCATTAATACTTAAAGAGATTGTTATTGATTCATCTGATATCATTCTCATTCTTAAGATTATTCTAAGGCTTTGCATATTTTTCCCAACAAGACACTGAATGTCGACTTGAATTAAAGACATTTCACAACATTGTTTTGTGGCAGTTGTTGGTTTAACCAGTTTCTTTTTCGTCGTAATATTTTTTAATCTATTTCTACAATGTAATCTGAGCTTTATTAAAATAAATCTCAGATTACATTGTAAATCATAAGACTGCAGAATTATGAATAATTGTAATGGTTCATAAATTACTGTTAATATCATAGCCACTACTGTTCAACAACTACTGTATTTTTAGAAGTATAAGATGGATCTTTTCCCCCAAAAAAGAGGGTGAAAATTTGGGTGCGTCTTATACACCAAATGTAGTCTCACCCAACACCACCAGAGGCCATAAACATGAGGCATGGAGGCAGCGATGGTCTGTGGCAATCCCTGCAGCCCGGAACAGATGATTGGAGGGTATTCCAGCAGTCCAATCCACCCACCAATCAGCTGTGCTGAATCAGGCTACAATAAGTGCTGAAGCTGACCTGGCTGTTTAGAGTTTGCAGCAACAATTACATTCAGAAAGCACAGTAACTGATTCAGCAGGATTCAAAATAATAATAATATGCAATACATTGCCAAAAGCAGGTTTTCCAAGGTAGCAGTAAATGCAAGCAAAACACAAGCAGTTTCACTTTCAGTTCTCGGCTAAGCCAGTTTCCTTCCTGTCTCCTTGTTGCTCACACAGCAAATGTCAGAGTCTTCTTCAGCCTTCATTGGCTGACTGAGTTACTATGCCTA